GATTTTTTACAGTAAAGAAAAGCACCTTCTGGCTTTCATTCTTCACCTGCACATGTAAGGTTATTTTACCTATGCATTGACAATGTTTGTCTTGGGCGGCTGTCACTCCCATTCCTCCAACACCAAATATTCTATACCGTATGGGAAAGCATTTTCTGAAAACGTTTTCTGCCATCAAATGTACCTGGCCTGTTTTATTGACTCTCGTACCTACGAGGAATCCAAAACTTTCCATGGGAGGTCTCGGTGCCGGCGGATTCTGCGATCTTGGCGTAGGGGGGGGCAGAATAAATGTCGCTTTGTCTTGTGATATGATTCGCAATTAGTTCGTAGGCCACTTATAAGGTTTTTCTTTATCTGCTAAAAGTTAAATAGTCAAATACCCTAATAGACGTATCAGTATGTCTGAAAGTAACTACAGACTTGGAAAGGTTTAAAATAAACCTTTTTATTTAAACATGAACTCTGAACATTAATGCATGTTATTATTATTAACAAAGCAGCCACAACTCGTATTCACACAACTTAAGTAACAATCAATTTCAATTTAAAACTAGTAGTCAAAGACTACACAATTAAAATTTTTATCTGATTCAAAAACTCTAACCGCAGTATCAAATTCAAATGTCGGCTGCAATAACGCAAACCCGAATAATTAAACAAATAGAGCTGGCAGGAACTAATGTAATGTGCCAGCAAAAGGCAGAAACACGCTCTGTCTTACAACTTACTCTAGCTAAACTGGTAGTCCTTGGCAGCGAGAATACTTATGAAATGTGTAGCGAATTATCACTGAGTTCACGTGGAAAAGAGAAGTCCAAGGAAGGGTTAAATTACATTTCATTTACGAATTTCCCCTCTCGGGCTTACATGAATCCTCCATGAGTGCTTTAATGTAAAATAAAAAATAAGAAACTAATGTAATGCTATACGATCCCATTATAAACGTATGTGATTGCAGCTATGTGCTTTAAGGGAAGGGATGTCTTCATCGAGAATTTTCTATGAGAAACTACCTCATATTTATCTGACACGGATACTCGAGAAAAACCATGAAAATGCTGATGTAGTTGGCCAGATCGCAGCAAATCCAATCTTGTGCTATATTACCTAGCACTCAGCTACGTTTCCACTCGACTACTGGCTGGAGTATTCCAGTCCAATATAATTTCTGAATGTAAAGTTGTTTGCACTTCCCTACCCAGATCCTGGCTACGAATATGTTCATCTTTATACTTTGGATGATTTCTGGACCCTTTAGTTGGATAAGTCTTCATACATTGGGCGGCAGAAATATAGCCCGAATGTTTTCAACATCTAAGCAATCAGATTGTTCAGTTCTTACATACCTCTTTATCTCATACGCCTAGTCTCTCAGACGGTATAGTGGTTAGGGAAGCCTGACTGAGAAAATGAAGGGCTCGGGTTCAAATGCCGGAGATTGCATGTATGTAAAATTGTCTTCCCTTCATAGGAGTTAGCGGTGGCCGCCTATTAATCGCCTTCACAATAAAATGGTCACTATTTCCGACCTTAGTAGTGACCAATGCAGTTACAAGCAAGTGCCCGTTAGTGGGGGGAAAAAATCTTATACGCCTAAATTTCGATTACAATGCAGACATTCAAAACTGTCTTTCTTTTGATGTTATCGATTAATCGAGTGCTGGTAACGAGGTATTTAAATGTCTAAGTATAGGAACCTGATGAAGATGTAAAAAGTTAAATTTCATAATTTTCGTAAAATTGATATTTTGGAATTCAAAAATGCACAAACAGGAATATTTGCATTGTTTAAAAAATTTTTGCAAATGGAAAGAAATACATATCTACGACCAACTGGTGCGAAAATTAAGGTCCGGTAGGGATTTTTATGGACATAGGTTATATGAAAGCGAAGATATTGTTTTATATATTTAATAGCTTAAAAGGGCGTTGGGCCAGCAGGAATGTTAGTCTCGTAAAGGGCATTTTGCGTTGAATCACTTAAATGCGATGTATCACTTTTCAAATTGTTGCCACCAAATATTATCACCCTGTATTTATTTAATTATATTAAAAAAAAAAAAAAAACTAAATAATGAATCTACATGAATGCATGCATATTTATAGCATTGTAAAAAAAAATAAAAATAAAAAAAGGTACCTAGATTCATCAAATTTTGGATAACATAGTTCTCTAACCGAACATGGGTACCCGGAAGCCCGAATTTAGAATTTGTTTTATTGTCTATTTCACATTTTGTTAAACTTTAACGAATTTTTGATTTAAAAAAACTCAAAAATTTCAAAGCAAGCAGTGGCAACACTATACGGAATAAAACACTTTTATTTCCAGCTCGCGAGACTATCTATCGGAAATCCTAAAGATAGGCCGTTTTTAAATGTTTTTAGCTCAAAATGGCGTTAGCTGAAATGCTCTCGAAACGTGTATGTGTCTGTAGATGAAAAAAGGGCCCGTTTGAGCGTAATATAAAATCTGAGAGCTTTCAGATTTTTTAAATATTTTTATTTATTTAATTAGATTCCTCATTTTTGAGGGAAAAAATCATTAAAACATGACGTAAATGTGGAATAAAAAATTATTTTGCTTAGGAAATTTAACCATTTCTTCGGTATTATATTAAGATAAGGCAGCTGAAATAGGATTTTGTTATACTGAAATCAGGCTGATGTTAATTCGACAAAGAAAAATGATAATATTGACACAAAAATTTGTTTTGGTTAAAAAAACTATTAAAAACCGCACATCTGAATTTAAGATTTTTATTTTCTGTATAGGTATTCGTTTTATAGCACGGTAGATATGTTTCGTGTAGAAAATACCGTGTTATGCGATAACGTATTATACAAGACTAAGAACCAATACAAAATTGAGGCAAGCGTTTCGAAAATTTAAAAAATAAAATAATTTTTTAATAGTTCTCACTGCTGCTTCGTTTAAATGAAGACTTTTTGCAACATCAGATGTCTTTTTCTACTTTCAAGAAAGGATTCAGAATTTATTTTTCTCTCCAAAGAAATCAAAATGTTTTTTAAAGTTGTTTCCTCACTTTCAGGTATAGTTTGAGACCGAAATATAATATCGCTATAATTACTTCTAAAAAGGATTAAGCTAATTAGTAACGCATGTTCAAAAAATGTTCAAATATTTTTTTAAATCACTGTTACGTAATTTATGCAATCTACCAAATTAACAGTTGAAATACAAGCTACATATTGTGTTAATAACAATAGGCACGACTCAATTTCAAAAGAATTTTGACGCGTGAGAATGTGAGTATTTTATTTTTGTGTGTATAAATAAATAAGTTACTCGTGTTATTGTACATGATGGCATAGTACGTAATTTAATTTTATAAATGTTTAAAATAAAAATCGTATTGCCGAAATGTGTGCATGCATACAGCGTTGTAAGGGGTTTTAAGTATATTCAGGAATGTACAAGAATAAAACCGTGTTGCTATGCTATGCGAAGGTTTCCACAGTTTTCTTACCTTGTAAGAGGGATACTGTGTTATAAGAGGGATACAAGTATTAGCTTTCTGTATCAGCGGTTTAATATTTATCCAGCTTTTAATGATAAAAGCTCAGAACTAAAACGCTAAACATGACGAAGTTTGTAAATGATTTAAAATCAAAGCAAGTTTTACGTATTACTATTTTACAATTTTCATAAGTGTGGATTAACTGCATTGCTTGAAAGTGTTTACTACTGTTCAAAATTCTTTTGAAAAATTTAACAAGAAATTGTAAAGAAAATATTCTTTTAAATCTTCTCAACTTTTGGGAATCAATAATATTGATGTCTCAGACTCAAACTCCTGTTAAAAATAATATATTCTAGTAATCTTAACCTGTCGGCACGAGGGCCGCATGGGGGCTTTAAAGCAATTTTATGCTGCCCGCGAAGACATTTAAATTATATATCTGTCGCAAAGATTTCGAAGTTTGAAGTCTGAGTTTACATTATTTTTATTTCCATTAAAAGCAAACATGAAATGCACTAGAAAATCTATAAGTAGAGCTAATTAAATTTCAAGCGGTATAAACTTTATTCAAAGATTTGATAAATTTTATTCGTACTTGTCAAAAAATAAATAAGCTTAGGTACGAAATTCGGCTCTAAGAATAATTGCCTTGTTTTTTGTTTGGAAATACATTTATATGTGAACAATTTCTTTTTTCACAGTTGAAAATTAATAAGAAAAGAACAGTGACCAATCAACATCTACAATTCGTGATGAATACAATTTCTAGTAATTTTTACAAACTTTATCAGAAACGAAAGCCCATCCAGTGTCAAGCTGTAGTAAGAAGAAGTTTATCATTTAGATGCAAATATATGTATTTTTACATATGCTTAGAAGAAATTTAATAAATAAGAGAAAGCGACAAGGTTTTTTTTTTATTTATTCCCATGTTTTATCTAACTTGGTAAATTTTCTTTGAAAACTTAAAAAGTTTTCATAAGTTGTTTAGTTTTCGTTTAAGTAAGTAATTTTATCATTGTTAAATGAGTTGGAATTATTTGAAAAACATGTTAGGCTAAGAATTTGAGATTTAGCTGTCAATATATTTGATTTACGAAGAATAAACAACAAAAATGACCTACAGGTTCTTTCATGTAGAAAAGAAACATAAATTGGATTTTTTCCCCTTTGTTATAATATTATAATTATTCGTGTGTGTTTTGACAAATGCTTAGTAAGCGAAATTGAAAATTTATTTAAAATATTTTTTTGTGTTCATAAAAGGTTTTATTTTGTTAAAAAAAAACTCTGCCCCTTCGGCTGAATGTATGATCTGAAAATACACATCGTGCATTCGACATGCAGTTTCATCAAGACTGTTGATATATTCGATTCGAATAATATTTATTCTTTCTGTGAGCGCAGAGAATTTTTTTTAAAAAATTTTTTTCAGAAGAAAGAAATTAGTTTTAAAATGCAAAATATTTTGGAAAGGAATTTAATGAATTAGACGAATGAAACACTACTTACCTGATACAGAAGGGCGATTTTCTGGTCCGGAATGGGGGGTGTGTTTTTCATAAAACAAACCTGACCGCTGGAATCACTCATGCACATCAGGGTCCGCCTCGGAGTCTTTACATTGGCTAACTGCTTATTGATGACACAGACGAAATCTGCGTTTAGTACACGAAAGATAAAGAGGCATTAATATTTTACAACGGAGACCACCTTTTTGATGTGACAAAGAGAAATTACCAGGATTGCCCTTTTTAGATGGAAAGTTATGACGTAAGTTGCCATAACACAAAATCTACCCTTTGTAATATGGCCTGTACTCTTTTGTATTTGGAACTTCTGTTTCGTTTAATACTGTGTAGAATATTTTTGTGCTTATCCCGCGCCTAGATTTTTATCGACAGGTTTTGAAAATAAAAAAATTAAAAAAAAAAAAAAATATTCGCGCCATTTTCTCCTTCCTCAGAGAATGAATTTCCGTAATTTTTTTTAATTAATTTGTCAGCCTAGTGAATACTTTGGTCTTAATGAAAAACACTCACCCTCGAAAACTACCTGCCGAAGAAACGTCGAAATTTCCCCTTCTAATTGTTAAATTTTATTCTCATTTAATACAAGAACTGACCCATCACGGCAAAACAAAACAAGATCTGGGATTCAGTCTACGAGTCACAGGTACACATTCACCTTCTGTAATTATTTATAGATGACTGACCTAAGGAAGTATCAAAAACAACAGTAAGAATGGGTGAGATTCAAGTTACCGGGAAGTAGAGATGAAGATATCTGATAAACTGCATTAAACTTTCAAAGGGACTCTTCGGTTAACCGTTAAAATCTGAACCCTTTCAGAATTAAAAAGAAAATTGATGTCTTAGATAATGGTGTAAATTAACCCTTAAATGGTAATAGGAACTTTTCGTGCACGGAAGGATTCGTGCATTCTTGATTTGTTCATAAAAATTTTTAGAAATGATTTTTTTAATCTTATTTTTTTTCTGTATATGTTTAAATTTATAAAAATTTTGTGTGCTATTCATCATAATTACATCAATCATCATGATATGATGAATTAATTGATCCTTGGTCCTCGAATCTTCGTGAAGTAGGCAACACGAGCTGCTGGCTAAAATGTTTGGAAACCCCTGTGCTATAACATGTTTCTTATAACCAACTGCGAGTTTCTAATTCAACCTTTCGATACACTGTGTGAGAGAGTTGAGCGAAAATATGAAACAATGCTCTAAGCGCTGCTCTAGTGCAAAATTTTGCTGCTAAGCTAAGAACAAGGCTGAATATGCAAAACAATAAAAATGTCCATGGAATTAAATATTATGAATATAATAATTGACGGATGTACAGACGACACTAAATTAATGAAGTATGGGCAATTGACTAACAAAACTATTTCCATCCCCTTGATATGTAAACATAAAAATATGATAAAATGTACGAAACTAGAAGTCCTAAAAATATTATGATTACTTTTTGGTTAACCTCCACCGCTTGGAATCGTGATGAACTCTCCTTTAAAAATTATATTATACTCGAGAGACATACTCCGTAAGTACAGTCGTAGAAAACTCTGAGATTGAAGTCTTTTTAAAGAAGTTAAGTCAATTTGTTAAAAATACAGTAATGCAAGAAAACTATATTTGTATCATTTTAAATAATTCTATTACACAAAAACCACGGGCAGTGACACTGTTTGTAAGCAGTTTGCTTTGGAAAGGATATAATTTTTGCATTATGTTTTGAGAGAGATGGTCTAAGCTGGTGCGGCATAGGTACATTTTTGGCCTTATCAAAGATATACAGTGAGTTCTTTTACTCTCGAGGCTAAATTTTGAATTCCTGCCAAGAGGGTTGTATAATGAAAGCAGAATTAGTGACCTCTGGTAGGGCTTTTTGTAGAAGTTTTCAAGTTTACAACTTCCTCCTATCGTAACGTCAGTCACAAAATATGGCCGCTAGTGACATAGATAAAGCTTTTTTGCTTGAGGGATGTCCGCTGATAACATCGCGGCAAAAACAGACGAAAACGTCGCGGAGAAAACAACGCAAGGCGAAAACGTCATGCTACAAAACATCGTGAGAGAAAACATTGCAGAGAGAAAACATCGCGGTTCTAAAACATCGTGGTACGAAATATCGTCGTCAAAAATAAAGCGGTTCAAAAACTTCGCAGTTTAAGAACATCGTCGTCGAAAATATCGTGGTAAAAGTAAAGTATCTACAAATCATCTCATGACGATCACATCACAGACATGCTTTTTTCAGGCTTATAATGTAAATGGATATTCCATAATGATTGGGTGCAAGTTGGAAAGAAGGATAATTTTTACTTTCATATTTTTTATTTACTAATACATTTTTGTTGATAAAGTAAGAAGGAAACTTAAGCATAGAAAATTAATGCAACTTATAGCACTTAACAGAATTTTAAACCGACTAATAAATGATTTTTTATAAAGTTTTTACTGGTAATTTTTCATGAAAAGTATAATCTAAAAAAGATTAGAAAAAGGAAGGTAAGTAATTGCATGACCTTATCTTATCAGGTTCAATGTTCCGTCTTACTTTCTTTGGGAACATGCAAGGACCTGACTCCGAACAGGGAGCTTACTAAAGCTATGTTCAATAACTGTGGGAAGTAGACAGGATACACAAGAAGGATATACAAAACCCTTTATTTTTCTCTCTTTACAATAATTTCCGTACTTCGGAATACAAAGACCCACTACTTGTGGTCTAAACGTAAGATATAAAATATAAACTAAACTCTAACTTTAACTTTGAAATAATAAACGTGGAAGATTGGCCTTATATTAACAGGAAGCCGTATGTAGTACAGAGAACTGTTAACACTACAATACGTTTAAAATTATCAAGAGGATTAAAACCTCTGGCCTGGAAGGCAACCAGCAACTGAGTAAACTTCTAAGGTAAGCGGCCTGCTTCGACTAACTCCTTCCTCTCTCTCGCTTGGCAAAAAGCCACAACTTAAGTACTTGGCGTTCGCCAGACAAATTTTGCATAAATAAGTTAACGCTTTTTAATTCTGGCCGGAAGGAAGTAGAAAATAAGAAGTGATAGTAAAGATTTAAAATAAAATAAACGTTAGTAAAACTTAAGATCCTTACATACTTCCCGCCAGAGTTAATTAGTTTGAAACTGAGGTCTAAAACGACCTTGTTGAAAACTTTTAGCTCTAGAATCTAACGCGAGGCCAATCTTTTACAAACATTTCTCACTAGAAACTAGAAATTTTAAAAAAAGAAATTGTTTTTACAATAGCAGCTCCAAGGACACGCAATTTTTTTCATCTGTACTGCATCTAAACAGGAGCTTTTTATTCAAATCTGGTTCCTTCCAGAGATCTGGAAGGAAAACTAGTTTAATGAAATGTTACACAATGAAATGGCAAGTAACATGTATTTATATTAAATTATTTCTCTTAACATTCTTATTTCATTCATGATTAATTATTTTAATTATCTCTCCCCGTGCTCTCTGACATGTGTGTTGTAAAAGAACACCAAACACGAATGTGTTTATGTCTATGTGTTCAACACTTCCTCCTACAATCAAAACACTAACGTGTTAAAATTCAACATACCAAGACCTCGTAACACACCCTAACTTCAACTCTAAACCCTGAGGTACTATTCTGAAAGTGGCTAACTCTGAAGTGTAGCGTCAGAGAGCCTAACTACATCATTCAACCTTTAACACATATTCACCATGAATTTAGTCTTTTTACAGTCACACGAATAAAAAAAAAATTTTAACATTACTTTCACTTTTACCATATCACGGTATTTCTTAACATTTAAAATAACAGTTCACATTGTATATAAGAACATATTAACATGCCGTTAATTTTACGCATTTGAAAACATACATTAGTAGTACATTGTTAACTTCTATTCTTTTCAAAGCAAGTGCCAATTCTTCTACATTGAAATAATACATTTCAAAAAGTCTTTCAGACTAAAACTTCTTTCTTGCCAGAATGTTTTTAAATAAAATTTATACAATAACTTTTTACAATATTTAAGTATTTACACACGCTATTATACATCAACTTTAGTTTTACGCGCGAGTAATTTGAAAAACATAATACCAAAAATCGGTAACAAACTCATTTCTCGCCCTTTTTGGCGATAAAGGTAGACCTCGCATGAGGTAAAACTTCTTGAAATCTGCCACTTGCAGTAAGAATGAAAGATTAACTTAAGTTTGCAAAGTAAACATAAAATTTTACTTATCTTTGTGATATTCGGACATTCCTTTTCTGGGCCCAGTCCTGGAAAGGTAGCACAGATTACCGTTTGATTTATCCTCCTTCTTGTACGGGCTCGCCCTTCAGTGCCTTCCTCTAGAAGCTTTTTTTTCTCCAGTTCGGTCACCCTTGAATACCTTCTTTTTCGCCTCTGCCTGTGGTCTTGGCCGTTTGATGGCAGCTGGTCTTGGCGGAACCGGGAAACTTCTTTCGTGTTCCTGCTTGGACCTCGTTGTTGGCCGTTCAAATTTTTCCTTGTAACTTTTCCTCCGCCGCTGGTGGCCCTTCCGCAGTTCGGCGACATTTGCTGCGGAGAGAGTCCTGTCGGATGAGTAGATCTTCCGTTTTAGAGCCGGGTTATAGTTGCCGTCATTTCTCCTGGCTCTCTTTGCATACGTCGTCCTTCTCCCTTCTTCATTCTGGGGGTGTTCGTGAGCTCTCTTTTCTGGACGGTGGAACGGCTTCTTTTTCTTGTTACCTTCAATTTTCCGCGGGAAAACTTTTCTTTTCACTTGCTCCTGCCTCTAATGGCTTGCCCTTGTACTTGTCGTTGTTCCACCTCTGGAGCTTGTGCCTGCGGTGTCTGCTGCCGTGCCGGATCCTGCAAAAGATCTGAAATATTTGCATTTTATTACGATCATAGTAGGGTTTGATTGATCAATGTTTGCGGAGCAGGTTTCACCATTCCTGGCTTTTAACACTACTACAGCGTGAGTTATTTTTTCTATGACATATGGTCCTTCAAATCGTGGGAAAAAATTTGGCAGTTTTATCTTCTGGTGCTGAAGAAAGTGAATG